TCAAAGGGCTTTCCCTCCGATGTCAGAGGGAAAGCCCTTTGAGAGTTCCGAAGGCAAAAAGGCAGGGAGAAAGGGCGGGAAATTCGAATTTCCAGCCCTTTCTCTCTGCCTTTTTGCAGGGAGCCATTTACAAACAGCTCTGTTCACAAAAAATGGCATTGAGTTGCGAATGGAGCTTTGACCTCGTTCGTAGGTCGAGGCTCCATTCTCAAGTCGATGCCAATTTTTGCCAATGGAGCTGTTCATAAATGAAAAGTTTTGTTCGTAAGTTGAGGGTTGACTGTATACTTTTATTTCTTCTTCAGTTTCTTGCTTCTCATATAGATGCTATAGCTTGTCTTATTTTTTTCCTTTGACAACCCATTCTTTGTTTTGTGTTTGTTTTTTTGTAAACTTCATTGGCTTGTACTTATTTTCTGCATTAAATTTTAAATTTGACTTCTGAGCTTTAAAACACATTATTTGCATTTCATCTTTCATCCCTTCAGCACCCCTTCTCTTCATTCTGATTCAATTACACCTGCCTTTTCTAGTATTCAGCCTCTCTGCATCTTATCTTTGGAATGTTCTTCCAATACACCTATTCTTCGTCTGTGGCCAACATTTTAAATCAGACCTATCCTTTTTCTCAGGCTTTCTTTTTCTTTTTCCCCCTTTTATTGTTTATAACTTTTTTGTGACTGTTATATCTCCCAAGTTGTATTATGTCTTCTACTTTATGAGCCTTTGTGGGTTGTTTCAGGATTATGAAGCAACTAATTCTATGTTTATTATTGTGTTATTATAATTATTATAAGTATAATTCTAATTCAGATATGTATGGAATGGAATCTAAACTTGACTATATATAAAATTTTTGCGAGTGTGTTGACCTTTGCTAATAAAAGGCTTCATTTCTTGTAATAGCAGAGGTGTTTGCTTTGTTATACCTAATGTGTAAGATGGATGAAAAACTCTCTGAACAAAACCAAAAGGATTGGCATGAAGGATCTAAACATTAATATGATATACCAAACCATTTTAAAATGCAGACCTAATCAAATTAATATTACCTTTTTTTCCACAACTTCTGGTACTTCTTCTGAATTCCACTTCTGAATGATTTCTGGAGGTGGTGTCTTTCTCAACTTTTCAGAGAGGTAATTCAAAAGAGTAGTGACAGATTTTATTGCCAAAACATGCATAGTATTGAGTATCAAGTAGTCAGCGAGACGAATAAAGCTGGAAGGAAAAACACAATACAATCCAGAATTTTGTTTTTTGCATATCACAGCCTTCATACTAACTCAAAGTGTCATGTATTCCAGTGAGACCTTTGCATAAATAAAAATAAACTGAGAACTGTGAAAAACCTTGCAGACTTGGTGAAAATAGAAAAGAAATAGCTACAGCAAATACAAATTGTATTTAAATCTGTATACATTAAATGATACATTATAAATGATACATTTGATACATTAACTATCATTAGGCCCCAAATCTATCCTGTTTGCCCAAAAATAAGAGGTAACATGAAAATTAGCCCTAGTATATTTCAGGATGCTCGTAATATAAGCCCTACCCCAAAAATAAGCCCCAGTTAAGCGAAACCCTGCCCTCCACCATTGTGCAGCAACCAGAAGATGATGACATGACTGCATTTGAATAAATGTAGATGGTTGTACATGAAAAAATAAAATAAAACATCCCCTGAAAATAAGCCTAATGCAGTTTTGGAGTAAAAATTAATATAGGACCCTGTCTTATTTTTGGGGAAACACAGTAATTATAGTTCCTGAGTTTCCTAATGAGAACATGATGTCACACAGAAATATTTTTTCAGACATTACCATGTGCTTTTGTGGCCCTCACCACAGGAGTGAGGAATGGGAAGTGTGCCTTCTAACATGAGTTCCATGGACGTAACAGGCGCAAGGCTGTTCATATTTGGCTTTATTGAAGTGAAAGAGGCAAGTACAACAATATACCCCTGTAAACCCCACCCTCCCCAGTGTGTTTATCTCCGCAAAGGCTGGTCCAGTTACTAGCTCTTGTTCTTCCCAGTCTGCTTGCCCCTGTGGGGGCTCAGTTCCAGTCACTAGCTCCTGCCAGATATATCTGCCTGCTCAGCACTTAGTTCCGCTCACCAGCTCACGTCCAGCCCTGGCACTGAGTTTCAGTCACCATCCCTGGCCATGAAGGTCAGCAGCATCTGGCTTTTGTGAGAGCTCTCAGTGCAACTGCTCTTAACGCTCCCTGGCCAGCTAAACAAAGTGCCTCCAGCACCTCCTCTGAGTTGGAGTTGGCTTCTCTGGCCAGGGCTCCACAGGGTGGACTGGGCACGGTTATAAGGACTCAGGAGGAAAGAAGATGGTCTGCCACTCCATAACTCTTTCCTGGGAAGAAGCTGACCCTCTCCCACTGCACAAAAGATGAGCAGCTGCTCTTCCCTCTCCTCCTCCTCCTCCTCCTCCTCTACCCCTCTCCTTGCTGCCCTGCACCACTTTTGCAATCTTCCTGCAGCAGCTGTTCCTTCTCCTCCTCATTCCTGCCCCCTTGCTTTGACCCACTACCATGTCTTTGGGCAGCCCAACAAGTGGGGTCCTCCAAGGCATGCAGCAATGAGGCAAATGGCCTGACTGCAATGCTGTCCCCTTCAAAGCATATTTATATATCCCTTTCCATGTTAAAGAGGGACGTGGTGGTGCTGCGGGTTAAACCTCAGAAGCCTCTGTGCTGCAAGGTCAGAAGACCAGCCGTCGTAAGATCAAATCCACGCAACGGAGTGAGCTCCCGTTGCTTGTCCCAGCTCTTGCCAATCTAGCTATACAAAAGCATGAAAAAATGTGAGTAGATAGATAGGTACCACCTCGGTGGGAAAGTAACGGCACTCCGTGTCTAGTCGTGCTGGCCACATGACCACGGAAACTGTCTATGGACAAACGCTAGCTGTATGGCTTGGAAACGGGGATGAGCACCACGCCCTAGAGTCGGACACAACTGGACAAAATGTGAAGGAGAATGTTTACCTTTACCTTCCATGTCAATATGTAGTTCATAGGTCACAGAAGAGCAGGGAAGTGGGCTGCTTGTAAACGCTTGCTGTTGGGACGCAGATTGAAATGCATTTGCAATAAAATGCACAGCAATCCAGCAAACAATAATTTCTTATATTTATCCTTTCTAAGTTAGGATGTATCAGGTGGGGATCTGCAAAGAGCCTAACACCAACCATGTTAGCCTTCCGCACTGAGCTCTTTTGTTGGCCTGTTCTGTGTATGTCATTTTCTCAGCTGGTTCTCCAGAAAGATCTTTGTCACCCCGAGGAATAATGGCACTTGCAGAAATAATTCTTGGTATCTGTTCTGGGGAAAATATGAAATATATGTTGCTGAAACTATCCCATGTGCTAATATAACCATTCTATAGTCATTTGTAAAAATCTACAGCGAGAGATATAATTCCTTTCACAGTGATATCCATCAGTGTCATCTCCCAATAGTCCAACTGACCAAAGTTTAGCACTATAACAGCTTTCCTTGGGCTTCCACACTTCCTCCTTCTCATTAGCATGGCTGTGAGGGGATCAGAAACATCTGCTTCATTTTACAAACTCTAGTATGTCCAGGTTCACAGAATACTAATTAACTGAAACAGTGCTTCATTAGCAAGTCAGAATCCTAAACCACTGTTACATCCTGGGTTATTTTAGCTGATCATCGTTCTCCCAGTTTGGACCTCAAAACAAACTAATGATTTAAAAATCAACAGCAAAAAACATGTGACGTCCTTTTTCTATGCCTGGAGTAGAAGAGGACAACATGCAACCCTAAGCTTTATGCAAGCTCACTCTAATCTCTAATTATATCCAAATTGGACAAATTCTTTTCAATTAGAGCCAAGATTAAAGTGTTCTTAATCATGTTCAAAATGTCAGTTTTTACCTGTACTCTCTGTTCCATAAAAGTAATCATCAGGAGTGAATCCAGACTCAATCAGCGCTGTTCTACATGCACTTCTCACCACTTCTTTAGCTAATTCCCTGAATTCTGAAAGATGGGCTGTCACCTAGATATTGCAGAGCAGTTAACAATTAATGGATATTACATTTCAGCCAAAAGAAGCATATGTAAAAAGTCTTGACACAATGAACCAAGGAAACTTACTTCTTTCAGCTGGTTCAACTGCATTTCTTTGAATTCTTTCAGTGTGTATATGTAGCCTTTTTCAACTTGACAAAGTGCCACATCACAGAGCTGATAACACATTTCTTGGATGTTAAGTACTGCTGGTCTCAAACACTGCAAAATAGTAAGAACCACTTAATGAGATGGCAAGAATCGGAACTTTTAATGATGATTTCTTCTGATTGAGGTAATGATGGCATAAATATTAGCTTTCATACCCCAACAAGGTCTGAGAGGCAGAAAAATCACATAGCTTTCCCCTTCCCTGTCTTTCCCCTCCCTTTTACAATTGCATTCATTTGATTCTGTAGCCCATGTTCTAACAGGAATCCACCTGGAAAATGGATAAACATTCGCTCAGGACAGAAATAAGGCAGGGCTAGAATGCTTGCCTTGTATGTTGTACAGTAGGAAGCAATAGAATTTCAGAATATGGATGTTGGCTCCTAGTGAGACTATATGAGGTTGTGAAGGGAAAGGGGAGAAGGAAAGGACTAATCCAATTAATGTGTGCATCCCTCAAGCAAGGCAGGAAAGTAACAGGCAAAGAAGAATCACATTAAGAAGAAACAGGAACCAAAGGGAACTCCATGATTCTTGCCTCTCTAGCCTAGTGGGAGTCGGAAAGCCAATAGGTGGGCTCTCTCACTCTTACAGATAAAAGTCGAAAACATGATCACCTTCGGTAACGTTTGGAAACAACAGATTTATAGATTTCCGCTTATAGAAGAGAAACTCACACTAATAGCTGCAGGGAGGGAGCCAATTTCTCCTGCAGAGTTTTTGAAAGCTGCTGTGGGGAACTGAGGTACCTTCTGGGAGGTGGTAATGCAGACAGAATGAGGAAGGAGAAACTAGTAAGAATCTTCTCCCTTCTGTTAGCAGGTACCTCTGATCAATCAAATACTCTCGCATTCATGGAAAAGCTTTTTCTGTGAATACATTTTAGGATCCGCTCAAATATTACATGGCTAGGACTGTGAGTACTCTCATTTGCGGCCTGTGTTATGCTGAATTCACAGGCAGTGATCACACAGGGGCTGCAGATTGATTTAGGAGTTCAGAGTTCATACTCAAGGTGATACAGTTTGCATTTCAGCCCACAACCCTTTCTTCTTTCCTTCCTCTGGTCCCACCTCTGCTGATACTTTTATGGTTCACTGTCAACCCACTTGGTTTTGAAAGAGTTGTACAGTACAGTGTTCCAGAAAAGATGGCAGAATTCCAAAGTTCTTCTTAACATGTACAGAAATACTACATGCTGCGGGAAAAACTTTTATTTCATCTGGATTTTTTTCTGTTTTTTTTTTTTCTTCTTTCCTTCCTCTGGTCCCACCTCTGCTGATACTTTTATGGTTCACTGTCAACCCACTTGGTTTTGAAAGAGTTGTACAGTACAGTGTTCCAGAAAAGATGGCAGAATTCCAAAGTTCTTCTTAACATGTACAGAAATACTACATGCTGCGGGAAAAACTTTTATTTCATCTGGATTTTTTTCTGTTTTTTTTTTAAATTCATTTGAGTTCATACTCAAGGTGATACAGTTTGCATTTCAGCCCACAACCCTTTCTTCTTTCCTTCCTCTGGTCCCACCTCTGCTGATACTTTTATGGTTCACTGTCAACCCACTTGGTTTTGAAAGAGTTGTACAGTACAGTGTTCCAGAAAAGATGGCAGAATTCCAAAGTTCTTCTTAACATGTACAGAAATACTACATGCTGCGGGAAAAACTTTTATTTCATCTGGATTTTTTTCTGTTTTTTTTTTAAATTCATTTTGAGGTTGTATATCAATATTAGTGATAAGGTGACCTAGCATTACTCTTATGTATGTAAAAAAATGTAAATACATTTGGAGGATGACTGGAGGAAAAAGCATGGGAGGAGGTATTCCTACAGTCCATTCTGAACATTATGCCCAACAACCTATGTCACCATTACACTGCCCACAGACATGCACCCCATCTTTACAAGAATTAATCAGTTGATCACACAGGGAAAAGTCAATTTGAATAATTCCAGCTTGAAAAAAAATAGAAATCTCCACTAGCAGAGTAAAAAAGCTGTGTTGGGAACAAAAAAGGCTGGATCATGTGATCAGAAGGAAAAAGACACAACACTTCAAACTGACCTATAATATAACCACAGCAAATCCTGTGGCATTTGATCATGTAGTTACAGCCTAAGAGAATCTTTTTGATGTACATTTAACACAGAGATCTTTTCATTATGTACTCTAACATCAAAGAAATCTCACCTTCAAAAGTAACAGTGCTATAATACATTTAAACAGTGTTTTTGCCTGTTCAAGAGGCTTCAAATATCTCAGTAATTAAAGAAAAAACATTTACAATACATACAGCATTAACAATGAATAAGTTCTTCTGCAAAGCTCGGCGGCATAGGTTAATCTTCTTGGAGCGGACGTTCTTTCTCCATACATTGAATGACTTCCACTTGCGAAATATGGTAAATATATTAATTTTTGAAAGGGCTCTGTGATAGAGATATTCCTGCTCCCAACGTTCAAGTTCCAGGTATTCAACCTCTCCATTACATGTATGAATAACTGCTTGTGGGCTAATAGTGTAGTAGTCATTTTTGCTAATGGCATCATAACTTACAATTCTAAAAATAAATGAAAACATTACATTTAATAAGATGCACAATACTTCATGAAGCTGCCAACAAATGCACAAACTGGTAATTGAACAATCTCCTTTTGTGCTTGTTGTATTCCTCCATGAAACTAAGAGCCAATAAGAACAATTTCAGGTACTTTCAATTGCCTTATCTAGAAAGCAAGTTATTTGTCATTCCAGCATTTTTTGCCATCAATTCAACTATTAACTGGAGGAAAAAAATAGTACTGGGGATCAGCACAACTGTCCTCACCTTGTCTAAACTAATTCTAGTGTTTTCTTTGGAAATCTTATATATTACATATTGTAATTCACATATTAACCTCACTAGCATCATTTCTACAAGCAATAGAATTTTGAGCCCTCTAATGGTGGAAACTTTTACTTGTCCAACTCAGTTTAAATCAACGGAGTACCCATTGGGTAAGAATAAATTAAGCAGTGCAACATACACTAAGATTTATATCCTCATGACTAAAGGGCATAAACTATTAACCATTATTTTAAAATGAGAATTAGGAGTATAAACAAAAGTAAATCAATAATTCACATTAAATTTAATGTGACTACTGTAATTTGATGACTAAACAGTTTAAATAAAGTCACTTACTTCAGATTATATGGTTCATATTCAGTTGATGATCTAGGCACAGAAGGAGTCATGTACAGAAATCCAAGGTTTTTGTTTTCACATATTGTTCTTATAATTTGCAGAGGTTCTGTAATATTAGCTTTAAGTACTTCTTCTGTTTCATGAAATGTACGAATAGGCGGAGTGGGGCTTGGTTTGCAAGCACTGAGCTTCACTGCACTACGGGGCTGTTTAGGAGGAGTAGGAAGTCGCACCTTAGCACTCAGTAACTGGAAAGGCAAAATAAAAGGAATTTAAATTAATTTTTATTTAAATGAGCTTCAATCATATGATGCATGGAACACATAGCTTTCCTCATGTTGTTAGATCTCAGCTCTATCAGGCTCTTCACAGGCTGTAGTTTCTGGAAAGGATGAAAACAGCACCCCAACAATTACATATCTTGGAGGCATTTGCTCTCAACTTGATGTAAGGCTTGTAAAACACATCTTACAAGACACACTTCCTTAGCTGTGCTTTAACACAGGCAATATTTCATTGGCTGCAAGAACGTACGGAAGAATTTTAATTGCTACTTGTATTACTGCTGTTTTAATTAATCATTATAAGTTGTACCAAAGTTTCTAAAAGAAAGATTATAGTGTTTGAAAAGTTTAAAGAAGAATTCATACTATACAAAGATAAGCAATACCTGTCTTTCCCTTAACTCTTCATAGAGTTCAGCTACGACTGGCTCCTCAGCAACAGGCCATTTTCTTTTCTCTGCTGAAGTTAAAGGTTGTAACACTCCAGAAGCAATTAATTTCTCCCTGTTCTTCTGGTATATGTATTCAGGTTGGTTTTGGTACTGATATTTTTTGAGCACAGGCTCAATTGAAAAGAAAACAATGGCAATTTAAAATAAAATCATCTATGAAAACAAGACAATCCATATCATTTTAAAAAGTAAATTGTGATGTATCCATAGTAAAGATACTTAGAATGGGAGAAGAAGTATGTGATCACCTAGCCCAACCCATCAGTCCTCTTTAAGTTACCAGGAGAAATATTACATTACACCTGTCCAGGGTTTCAGTTCGGAATTTAGCAAGATATTGGGTCTATCATTCTTTCTATAAAAATCCAGGTTTTATCAAATCATACAATCTTCATAAAGTTGATTATGAACTGTAATCTCTACTAGATTAGGCATCCTTTAGTCCCAAGAGACGATGGTAACGTGCTCTGTATGGAGGTCTTGGAACAGTGTTTAGTGTGTCTGACAATGCCAATAAGAGAGTGACCATCCTTTCCACAGTGAAGACAAATACAATCTGTCCTCTGTCCAGCTCCCTGATTTGGCTGGTTTCAGGACTACCTGTTTGCCTTGGCCTTTACCTTGTCATCTTTAAAGGAATATGAAAATAAGAACATGAGAAGAGCCCTGCTGGATCGGGCCAAAGGCCCTCTAATCCAGCTTCCTCTATCTCACAGTGCCCCCACCAGATGCCTCTGGGAAAACATGAGACAACTAGATACCTGTCTCCTGATGACTCTTCCCTGCATCCAGCATTTTGAGATACCTTGCTTTTAAGCCTGGAGATGATACATCCCCATCATGGCTTGCAACCTGCAATGGACTTTTCCTCCAGGAATTTGTCCAATCTCTTTTAAAGGCATCTAGGACATAGGCCATCACCACATCCTGTGGCAAGGAGTTCCACAGACTGACAACAGAATGGGTAAAGAAATATTTTCTTTTGTCTGTTTTTACTCTCCCAACACTCAACTGGAGTGGATGTCCCCTGGTTCTGGTATTGCGTGAGAGGGAAAAGAGCTTCCCTCTATCCACTTCATCCATGCCCTGCAGAATTTTATACATCTCAGTCATGCCCCCCCTTTTCTCTAGACTAAAAAGCTCCAAACGCTGTCGCTTTTCCTCATAAGGGAGGTGCCCCAACCCAGTCATCATTTTAGTTGCTCTCTTCTGCACCTTTTCCAGTTCCACTATGTCTTTTTTGAGGTATGGTGACCAGAACTGTACACAATACTCCAGTTGAGGCCTTACTAGCATTTTGTACAATGGCATTATAATGTTGCCTCTTTTATTTTCAATCCCCCTTTTAATGATCCCTAGCATGAAATTGACCTTCTTCACTGCCGCTGCACACTGTTTTGACACTGTAATGTACAGTTGTCACCTAACCAGACATTTCTAATTTTTGCCAGCAACTACATTTGCAAATCTCGGCTTAGTTCATGGATAAATGGCAACTATCACATTTGACTACCTGTACATGGGTCATTTACCCCTTCAAGCATTTCAGCAACAGATGCACAGGTAGTAGAGTTTCCAATTCTATGAGTACTATATCCATGCCAAAGGACAAGGTGCAATCAGACAGAGAAAAAGCTTTCATTTTAGACTGCAATTATTTGAAAAAAGTAAAGTGCAGGCTGGTGTATAAAGATGAAATAAGTACCAATCACATCATAAAATATAACAGTAGCTACATGTGGCTGAGCAATGAATTTATCTGTTTAGCTCCATTTTCCTTCAGGATCCGAGTGGGTGCAATGGTTGACCATCATCTGCTTCCTTTGTTGAACTTACACATTTCAGAAAAGTTAGACTTTCAACCTAGAAATCAGCTGGTAACTGATTTTCTGGTAAAGATGTACCATGAGAATTAGCAGTTTTAAATGCATTTCACAGGAATCTAATGAATCTAAGACCCAAACCATCATTACCATCGTCTAGCATTATCAAGTCCTTTAAAATCAACTTACCAAAGGTTCCAACTTTATAGGCTGCTGTCGCTTTTTCCTTCTTTCTTGTGATTTTGTATTGTGTTCAAATTTCAAAGCTTCAGGATTTGGTGCTGTCTGCACTGGAGCCATGCTAATCAATCTCTTTCTTAATTCATTTCTTGAAGGAGAATTTTTTCCATTTGAAGAAGAACATCCTCCATTTAAACTACCTTGCTCACTTCTGCCAATTTCAGTATCCAAGGATTGTGGAGTAGGTTGGATAGAAGGCAATGTGAGCCTTTTAGACATAATTACCTGAAACCAAAACACATTTTTCTGAGCTCTAATTCAATGAAAAAAGGTTAAAAGGCACTGATTTCAGAAGAGTCCATTTCCAAAACAGTTGCACATCAGCCACTTTCTGGTTATAAAGAATTCAAGTCATCCTTCCAACATGTCCCTGTTCCACCCCCTGGCAATATAGTTTAATATTAAACATTTACTTCTGCTTTGTAATGCTTATTTTTAATTAACATCACATTTTCAGTTGTAAATATTACATACACAAATTTAAAGGCAGGAACATTACTGCTGTTAATTGTACAACTTTTCTTTGGCTTTCAAAGCACTTTACCATTTTTATCTATTCAGGATCAGTTTAGCTACACATACCTAGTTTTATTGGTCCTCTACTGGTGATAGTACCATATAAGCAAGGTATCTAATACACGATACATAACCATACAAAGTACACAGAAACACAAAACTAAAAGACCTTTGTTTTTCAAAGCAAAAGAAAAGCCTTCACAGATAACTGATGAAAGTCTTAAAATTGTTAACAATAGAAGAGAAACAAAAGTAAAAGATAAGTGAAATGGAGACAGAATTCTAAAAGCAGCCCTTCAGTGACAGGCATGAAAGACAAAAGTGAACTATTATAATGATTAAGAAGAAATAGGCGAGGGCCCAAAAGTAATAATATTAATAAAAAATAAAACATTTCTTCTATAAAATCCAAGAAATCAAACCAAGATTAGGGATGTTGAAGAATTAGCAGGAAATGCACTGTACTATCCAATCAGAATTTTTTAAAAATTGAAAAAAATGGTGCAGTGGTTAAACTGCTGTACTGCAGCCAAAACTTTGCTCACAACCTGGGGTTCAATTCCAGGTAGCCGGCTCAAGGCTGATTTAGCCTTCTATCCTTTTGAGGTCAGTAAAATGAGTACCCAGCTTGCTGGGGGGGGCGGGATGTGCAGCCTGCATAATTAACTTGTAAACTGCCCAGAGAGTGCTTGAAGCACTATGGGGCAGTATATAAGCAGCACACTTTGCTTTTTACTTTATATAGCCAAGTTGCAAGCAACATTCCATTTAATTTTCAGCACCACTGTGCGGGAGCCTCACCCTGTGCATGAATGGGGGGAGGGTTTCATCCGACACCAGAACTAAACAGGCATCAACGCTAGCTGCCAGTGAGCAGCCCCAGTGAAGCTCTGTGCACATGAACACAACACAGATGCAAGTGTAGCGTTTGCCCTCGTGGCCCCTGCTTGTTTCCCCAAACACAGAGCTCACAAGGTACCTCAGCACACCCTCTCATACGCTGCCATCAGTTGATCTCTTTTATCAACTTAGTTTACTTAGAAGAGACAAAGATCCATCCAGTACTGACGTTTCAACAGAACAAGGTTATTAATTCCAGGTGGTTGCTAGAATAATTCATAAGCATATTCTTCAGGATTCATCAATCATCAATATTAACCGACTCTATTAATTATCACAGGTTAAAGGTAAAGGTTCCCCTTGACATTTAGTCCAGTCATGTCCAACTCTAGGGGGTGGTGCTCATCCCCATTTTTACTCCTCAGACCCCAAACTATCTTTCTCTCCCTGATTCCAGACTCTGACTGACTTTAACTCCTCTCAAGCTCCGCCTTTTAACATCTCTTTAGGCCCGTCTCTTAACCACATTAACATATAACACGAATAATGCATAACTTACAACGCTTAACTTGGGGTGGATGCTACAGCAAGCATAACAAATTCCTACAAACCAAATGTTTTAATAAACAACCTGTACTTTTAGAAAGCAAAGTAAAAGGCACATTCAAAACAATTGCAAGAAATAAACCACCACGAGTAGGTAGCTCTAATATACCTTATCATCAAGCTACAAAATCTTCATGCCAGCAGATATAGAAAATAAGACAAAGGCCAGAATTCAGTCAGTATCACAAAAGGTTTTCATATCTTTTCATAGCTAATTGCACCTCACTAAGAAAGGACTGTAGAAATGGGATTTTCCTATTTCTTTTACAAATCCAATTGTTCTCCATTCTGGGAGCTCCACCTGTCAGACAAGACACTTTACAGAACCTAAATGTGGCTCACATGAAAGAAAGATTTCAGGTGGAAGCTTCTGGGGATAAACTAAACTCAGCTCTGTGCCAGTTCTCTGTTCCTACCCCAGTGCTAGCTGGGAGCTGTCTTTCTGAACAGAAAAGCAGGCAGGTCTAGGCATTAGTCAGCCTCAAAGTTTTCCAGTTGAGATCTTTCTCTCAGTGAACCATATTTAGGTTCTATAAGGTGTCAAATGTCAGGCAGAATTCTTAGAATGGAAAATTGTGTGGTCTGTGGTCCAAGAAATCTGAAAATTCCATCTTTATTTAGGTTCTATAAGGTGTCAAATATCAGGCAGAATTCTTAGAATACTGTAGAGAACTGTGTGGTTTGTGGTCCAAGAAATCTGAAAATTCCATCTGTCTGGCTCATGTGCCTGATTGTTCCACATAGATGCACTCTGGCATCTCATCAGTGAGCCACACTCAGCCATGGCAATTTACATGGACCTTATTTCAACACCAATAGAATTCCAGCCTATGGCCCCCAGGCTGCAGCCCATGTATCTTCCAGTCCCAAAGAAATTAGATGCCAAAGATTGTAATAACTGTAGGATGATACCATTACTTTCTGTACACGCAAAATGGTACACATTTTCACAATAAAAACTCATATACGGAGTGAGAAATGTCAGAGGTTCAAGTCAGATTCAGAAAAGCAAGGGGCACTAGACACAACTTTGCAAATATATGTTGGCTATTGAAATGTACCATAGAATTTCAGAAGAAAATCAGTGCATGTTTTGAGATTACAGCAAAGCCTTTGGGTGTGTGCATCATGAAAAACTAGGGCCTGTTTTAAAAGAAGGCACAGGCACAGGACTTAGTGCTGGCCTGATTTGCAGCCTGGTGGAACCGCAGGGGCAAGAGGCAGCAACCAGAATCTTGTGGTAGTTGTGTGGTTCTCAAGAGCAGTTGCATGACAGACAGACCTTTGCCTGATTGAAGGCTGCTGGCAACTCCCAATCCAGTCAGAAGCAAAGGTGGACCTGAGAGCAGAAGGTATCTCTCTGATCTGAATGGTGGGCATGCAAGCAGCCACTGTTGTATCAGAGTAGCCAGTCCAGGCAATAACTGATCCATTTTCATTCTGTTATAACTTTTGTGAACAGGTCAGTGTGGGGACAGATCCAATGGTCAGAGGGGAGGACCAGCAGAGCCAGTTCTCTCTCTGGAGTAGTGATCCCCTTAAGGAAGGATGGGGGTGAAGAATGCTGTGGGCATGCAGTTTATCCTCAGGTAACAGGAGTGGTCACAGAGTGGTTTTTCCCCATGTTTTTCCAAATGGTCTTATTATCTCAAGTTTTCTGCCAGCAAGCAGACTGGGGAGGTGGATGGAACAACAGTTAGGTCGACCAAAGGCTAATCATTCTCCCATCAAGGCTACTTGCAACTATAATCAAAACTTTGTGGCCATTTTCCTTTCCAATTAAGTTTTTTTCCTCTTCAAACCTATGGTGGAATATCCTTGTGGAATGGCCAGAAGTTCTTGTGTTCTTGCTTCTCAGTCTGCAATGGGTGTGCCATAATATTTGATTGTCCTGATGTGTGATCTGCTTTCTGGACAAGAAGCTTATGTTGAGAAAGACTGCCAGAATCCTATTGGTTATACCCACAAAGTCTACCAAACTTGCGGCAATTAATCAATGAAATTTACACTGGGCTATAACTGGTATCAAAACCCCTTCCAATCAGTCTCAGCCAAGGCTCAGGAAAATGTGTTGAAGTTATTACGCAAATGGTATAGAACACCATTTAACATTCATAGAAATAAGCACTCAAGATTAGGTCCATGTTGGAGAAACTGTGGTTTTAGGAGCATTCACTGGCATACATAATGGCCACATTATTGGCTCTTCTGAGGACTTGGTAATTAAAAGTTGTCTACTCCTTTGGAAAAGCCAGTTATAAAAGATCCTAAACTATGCTTATTAGGCTTTTTCAGAGGAATAAATATTCCCTTTTATATAAAGAACTTGTAAAATTCAGTATTTTGTAGCAGCTCATCTTGTAAAAACCTGAGGCACGAAAAATAATCGTAATTGTTAGCATGATATAAAAAGATCTGGATTATACTTATTATGGAAATATTGTCTTATAATATCTTAATGGACAAGAGAAAAGCCAAGTTAGACTTGTTAAACTTAAGCTAATATGCATTTATTTAATGTGTTAATGGTGAACATACAGAAATTATGATTCGATACATCCCTTTCTTGGATGCACAACTTATCATGGGTGAGAGAGTCTGCGTGTGCCAGAGAAGCCAAGAGCAATGCTATCAGGAGGCTAGACTCCATTACAAGCCTGGACTCCTAACAGGGTGACCTAGGTTGGAATGTTCACAGCTGACACGCCAAACTAAGATGCACCCACCCTCTTCAAGAATAACAGCCACATCGGCAGAAGAGAATGGATAGTTCCAAGGGTGACAGCGCAGAGAAACTTCTGGAGGGCAGCAGTGGTACCTGAAGGTGATGCTGGCAGAGGATATTTCATAGACAACAGTGATGACACTGAGGCTGACTTTTGTTAGTACTGAAAGAAAATGGTAAACTACTGCATAACTCTTCTTACCTTGAAAACCCTATGATGGGATAGACCTAATTGAAACAATAAATGGTAAAGCAAGAAACTGAATGTTTAAAACACTGCAGTGCTTGGTATCAGTGAACTTAAGTGAACTGGAATGGGACATTTTCAGTCAGACAACTATGAACTATTTTACTCTGGAAATTACAACATCAGAAGAAACAGAATGGCTCTAATACTGAGGCAAAATGTAACAGTGACAGTTAGATGCTACTAATGCAAGGTCTAACCAAATCATATCAATTAGATTTCTGGGAAAGCTCATCAAAACAGTCATTATGCAAGTCTATACCGTAATTACAGAT